CGCCCGCCGTGCCCGCCTCCGCGCCCTCGGCGCCCGCCTCCGCGCCCTCGTCCTCGTCCTCGGGAGGTTCGCCCTCGGGCTCCGAGATCTGGGCAGCGATCTGCATCTCGAAGATGGTGTCCTCGCAGAAGCTGACGAACAGCTCCATCTTCTCCGCCTCGCCGCCTTCGTTCACCACGTCGAAGATGAACTGGCGTTTGGACTCCTTCACCTGCGGGCCAGGGAGGGGGCAGGAACGTCAGTGACCGAGGGGCGCAGGGCGCCGGGTGTGGGGGGCTGTGGGGGCGAGGTGCAACTCCACGGGCGCCCTGGAGGCTTTCCTGTGCTCACTGAGAACATTCCTGGGAGCCTTGGGGGCGTGATGAGTTTTAGAACCTGCACCCCCATGGGAGAAAGCCAGGCAACTTGCTCTTGTTGAGATATAAGCCTCAGAAATCGGATGGAGTGATGCCAGCGATGGGGATCAACTTGATCTGTGTTTGTGTGCGCCCGCACGTAAGTGCACACATCCTGGTACCAGCCAGCATTTTACAGATATTAATTAAATCCTCATCAACAACCCTAGGAGTTAGGAGCTATGTTATCCTCATTTTACAGATGAAGAAATGGAGGCACTGAGAGTTGTGTGCCTGAGATGACAGTGCTTAGAAGTGGCAGAGGTAGGATTCGAACAAACTGGATAACTCCAAAACAGATTTTGCCTTTTGACAACTCTCTGGGCCTGCATTGTCCTTTGTGTTAAATGGAGATGATAACAATAGGTCATACAGTATAGGGTTGTTGTGAAGATTAAATGAGTTAGAAAATGGGCTGTGTTAGAAAAAAACCAAAACCAACTTACTTGTCCTAAAGTCTAAGTATGGTAGCTTCCTAGCTGGTTCCTGAGGCTATAAATCTTAACCATAACAGACTACCTCTTTCTCCTGGTGAGTTATTGTGGAGAGTTAGAACCGACCCATAGCTGAGGAATAAATCGCATGGGAGGAGACTGCAACTCTCTCCTGGGAAGCGACTGGTAGATTTGAACTTTCTGCCTTTGGGTTGGCAGTACAGCTCTTGCCCCTTGGCCACCAGAGCCTACTGAGGGGCTGATAGGTTCAAACACTGTGTCACCAGGGCTAGTTTCAGCATGCTGCCTGAACTAAAAAAACTAAACTCACTGCCACTGAGTTAATTGTGACTTATATTGACCCTACAGGACAGAGTAGAACTGCCCCAGTAGATTTTAGAGCCTGCAAACAGGGCACACTTCAGAGCTATTGTATATAACAGGGTCACTATGAATCACAGGCAACTCAATGGCATATAACAACATCGGAACAGAAGCAGATTGCTGATGAGTTCAAGCCTCTTCTGGCTCGCAGTGCAACATGGAGCATGGCATAAACATGCAAGGGGGACTCAGGAAATGGTAAAAAGATACCCAGGAAAATGAGGACTTGGTGTGGGACCTGAGGCCAGGTGTTTCCTGAGGAAACTCAAAGGTCACTTTATTGAGGAAGTATGCAAGCATTATGGGCTACAAGTGCCAGACAGGAAGGAGTGTGCAAGAGCATGTAGGAAGAGTGTGTCTGGGGGCATGGGAAGAATCAAGCATGAGTGAGCATGAGAGACACACAGGCTTGGCGTGCAAGGCCAGTGTCAGTGTCCCCGTCACCAGAGCACCAGTGTGGGCCTGGGAGCTGAGGACATGTAAGAGGCACATGGGCAGTGCCAGAGAGTAGAAGGTGGGACCCACACACTCTCAATGTCCCAGGGTCAAGTGTATGAGACCAAGTCAGGTCCAAGCCCACCAGGGTTGCTGAGAGGTTAAAGTGTGTGAGTGGGTGTGGTTACATCATGGTAATAAGGGCACATCCAAGGGTGAGTGTGCAAGGTGAAGGCGTGTTACGGAAGCAGCTACAGTGAAGGCACTTATGCATGTGATGCAAATTTGTAGGTGGGTCAAGGTGAAGTGTGCTAGGGTACAGCAACCATGCGTTTGCCTGGCTGCAGCGAGGGTTCACCATGCCCATGGGTAGATGTGCAAAGCACACCCAAGCCTGCGGAGGAGGCCTGCAAGGTGTGGGCACAAGCGTCCCCGGCACACTGAAGCCCCGCCAGCCAAATGGGCACGTGCGCAGGCATCTGACCTGGGGCATCTCCCACTGCGCACGGTTGGTCTCCGAGATCTCAAAGTAGATCCGCTCGATGCGGCGGGAGGCACCCATGATCTCTATGCGGCCCAGGTAGGGTCGGAAGTACTCGAGGATGCTCTCAGCCAGCTCCAGGAAGCTGCGCAGGCGCTGGTCGTGCGGCACGTGCTCCGACAGATTGGTCAGCAGCACTGCCACATTGAAGCCAATGTCGCGGGCTGGCTCCTCAAAGCGGCTGGCGAACTCCTCGCAGTTAATCATCTCGTTCTCGTCGGCTTCAGAGCAGGAAAGCAGGAACTGGATTTCTGGGCCTGTGAACTGCTTCTGGCTGTCCATGGCCTGTGGGTGGGCAGAGTGGGTCAGCAGGTGGCAAGTATATCACAGTTCTTCAACTAATTGTGGACTTGTCCTAAGGCCAGCACAGGCCACCAGCCTCAAGGCTGGTACCAGCTGGTTAGCATGGTAAAGGTGGTCATAGTATTATTGTTATGTACTGTTGTTTTTGAACCAACTCACAACTGACTGTCCACGTTTTCTGTGAATCACAAGGGAGAAGACTGCAGCAGCTGGATTTGAGCCACTTGCTCTTGAGCTGGCAGCACAACCCTAGGCCACCAGGCTAAGATACTGACATGCATTCCCATGGAGCTGAGCTGCCATCAAAAGTAAGATGCATTTTATTTCACAGAGGTGGTACAGAAGGCAAAATTTAAACTTTTTGTCACAATTGACAAAAAGACATGGCACAACATTCCCTAAATTTGCCATCCCAGTGTGCCCTTCAGCTCATCCACATATGGTCAACTGATTTTTTTACAAGGAGATAAAATCAGTTAAGTGGGGAAATGACAGTCTCTTTAACAATGATGTTGGCAAAATTGGAAAACCAACTGCAGGAAACTTCAGCCAAATCCACACCTCACACCATACACAAAAACCAACCCAAGGTAGATCAAGGACCTAGAAGTAAAACCAGAGACTATAAACATCATGAAAGAAAAGCAAGCCCTCCCTAATCCACAGCATGAATAGTTTTCTAAGCATAATGAAAAACCTACAACCAGGAAAGAATAATAGAGGAATGGGACCTACTAAGAATCAAATTCCTATGCACATAAAAAAAAAACTTCTCCAACAGGGTAAGAAGGGACCCATAAACTGGGAAAAATATTTGTCAATGATATATTATGCTGGAGATGAAAAGGTGGAAAAAACGGGGGTGCTTTCCTAGTTAAAAGGGCCATTTCTAAAAAAAAAGGCCATTTCTATATCCATCTCGAAATATAATATTTTAACAGAATAATATCCATATGCATACAAGGGACCTGTTAATACCACTATCATTCAAATTTATGTGCCTACAACGAGAACCAAAGAAGAGGAAACAGATTATTTCTATCACCTGTTGCAGTCAGAAATTAATAGAGCATGTAACCAAGATGCTTTAATAATAATGGGTGACTGGAATACAAAAGATGGGAATAAGGAAAAAGGATCAGTAGTCGGAAAACATGGGGTAAAATATAGAATTGTGTACAATCAATGATTTGAAAATATGGGATAGAGTAATAGAATTCTGTCCAATCAATGATTTATTTGTAGCAAATACATTTTATAAGAAACATAAATTCAGGCTCTACACATGGATTTCACAGGAATCAGACTAATTACATCTGTGGAAAGAACTGCTGGAGAAATTCAATATCCGCAGTAAAAATTAGGCCAGGTGCTGACTGTGGAACAGACCATCAACTGCTGATATGCAAGTTCAAATTAAAACTAAAGAAGGTTAAATTAAATCCACAGGAATAAAAATTTGACCCTGAGTCTATCTCCCATGAATTTAAAAACCAACTCAGGAATAGGTTTGAGGCTTTGAACATTAATGAAGACCAGATAAGCTGTGGGAAGATGTCAAGAATATCATTCATGAAGAATGCAAAAAGTCATTATTAAGAAGGAAGAAGACAAGACCAAAATAGATGTCAGAAGAGACTCTGAATATTGCACTAGAGCTCTGAGAAGCCAAAGCAAAGGGAAGAAATAAAATAAAGGAGCTGAAGAGAAGATTTCAAAGGGCTGCTAAGGAAGACAAGGCAAAATATAATGAAATGTACAAGGAGCTGGAGTCAGAAAACCAAAAGGGCCAAACTCACTCAGCATTTCTTTTCTTTTTTATTTCTTTTTAGCATTTCTTTTCTTTAAAAGATATTTATTGTGTGTGTGTGTGTGTGTGTATGTACAATCAAATCAGATCTGACTGGTACAGGAGGAGATTGTCCCTCCTCCAGGAGAGCATCTGGTGGATTCAACCGCATAGCTCTGAAATTGCAGTGCAACTTCTTGCCACTAGACCACCAGAGCTCCCTCCTCAGTATTTCTTAAGCTGAAAGAACTAAAGAATAAATTCAAGTTTTGAGTTGCAATGCTTAAGAATGCCATGGGCAGAATATTGAATGATTCAGGAAGCATTAAAAGAAGATGAAAGGAGCATACAGAGTCACTGTACCAAAAAGAATTGGCAGCCACAGAAGAATTTCAAGAAACAACGTATGAGCAACAGGCAATGGTGATGAAGGAGGAACTGTAGGCTTCTCTGAAGGACTTGGCAAAAAATAAAGACCCAGGGATTGATGGTACACCAACTGACATATTTTAGCAAACAGATGCTGCCCTGCATGTGCTCACTAAGTTGTGCCAAGAAATCTGGAGGACAACGGCTTGGCCAACTGGCTGGAAGAGATCCATATTTATTCCCATTCCAAAAAAAGGTGACCTGACAGAATGTGGAAATTATTGAACAATATCACTAATATCACACACTAGTAAAATCCTGCTGAAGATTATCCAGAAAAGATTTGAAAAGTACATTGACAGAGAACTACCAGAAATACAGACTGGGTTTATAAGAGGTCATGGCACTAGGGACATTATTGCCAATGTCAGATGGATCTTGGCAGAGAGTACCAGAAGAATGTCTATCTGTGTTTTATTGACTATGCAAAATCATTTGACTGTGTGGATCACAATAAAATGTGGCTAACCTTGAGGAAAATTGGAATCTCAGAACACTTGATCATGCTTATACGAAACCTATGCTTGGACTAAGAAGCAGTCCTCAGAACAGAGCAAGGAAACACTGCATGGTTCAAGATCAGGAAGGAGTGTGTCAGGGATGCATCCCGTACCCATACCTTTTCAATCTGTATGCTGAACAGATCATTGGGAACCAGGGCTTTATGAAGAAGAGTGTGGCATCAGGATTGGAGGAAGACTCATTAACAACCTCTGATATGCAGATGACACAACCTTGCTTGCTGAAACTGAGGAGGACCTGAAGCATTTGCTGCAAAAGGTCAAGGACTGTAGTCTTCAATATGGATTGAAGCTTAACATCAAGAAAACAAAGATTCTCACCACTGGGCAAACTGGCAGCACCATGTTAGATGGAGAAAAAAAATTGAGATTGTTAGATCCACAATCAACACTCTTAAAGTCAGGAAATCAAAAGACTAATTACATTGGGAAAATCTGCTGTCATGGACCTCTCTAGAGTGCTGAAGAGCAACGATGTCAGTCTAGATACAAAGGTGTGCCTAATCCAGGCCATGGTTTTCTCAATTATTTCTTAAGCTTCAGAGAGTTGGACAATGACTAAGGATGACAGAAGAAGAATCGATGCCTTCAAGTTGTGGGGTTGGAGAAGAGTCATGAACATATCATGGACTGCCAAGAAAACAAATAGGTCTGTCTTGGAGAGAGTAAAACCACGTCTCTCCTTGGAGGCTAGGATTTTGAAGCTCTGCCTCACTTACTTTGGGGACACGGCCAGGAGAGATCGATCGGTCCTTGGAGAAGAACATCATGAAGGGTGACAGCGCAGGAGAGGGAGACCCCGGATGAGATGGAGTGATACAGTAACTGGGGCAATGGGGGTAGGTGTGTTGAAATTAGTGAGACTGGCTCAGGACAGGAAAGGGTTTAGAGCTGCTGTACATCACTATACATCACATGCAACTCAATGGCCCATAACAACAATAATATACTATAACAGGTTTGGAAGCAGGACTGGCACACACTTCCTAAATAACATGCCTCTGGAAACTCCATGAACTTTGATAAATGTTAAGTAGAGGGGCTTCAGGCCTTTAGTTAATAGTGTCGCTATGAATTGTGTTTGACTCGAAGGCAATCAACAACAACATATCTGATAGGGACTTATATCTAAAATGTATAGAATACTCCAGCACCACAACAAGAAAAAGGTAAATAACAAAATCACAAAATGGGCACAAGATATGAATAGATACTTCATCAGATATTCAGATGGCAAACAAACACAGGAAGAAATATATAAAATCTCTAGCTATCAGAGATGCAAAATAGCAATTATCTCACCCCAGCAACAATAGCAAAGTTCAACAGGGAGCCAAACAAAAAATGCTGGTGAGATTGTGGAGAGATTGGAATCTTATTCACTGCTGGTGGGAATGTAAAATGGTACAGCCACTATGGATGGCAGTCTAGTGCTTTCTCAAAAAGTTAGCCTAGAAATACCACTTGACCCAGCAATTCCACTACTGGGAATGTACCCTGAAGAAAGCAGAGCCACGGTTCAAACAGATGTATGTACACCCATGGGAAGCAACCCAACTGCTCATCAATAAACAAATAAATAGAAAACTATGGTACAGTCACACAATGGAATATTACACAGCACGGGAGAAGAACGAACTCTAGAAACATTACACAACATGGGGGAGTCTGGAGGACATTATGCTGAGTGAAATATCTCAGTAACAAAGGACAAATACTGCATAACATTGCTGTTACAAAATAGGACAGACATGGGGGATTAGGGAAAGCATGGGAAAGAGTGGATAGATAATATTGCATTAGATCAGATGAGGGAAGGAACCGTCTGAAATGAATATATGATTAGGCAGCATATGTAGGACAACAATCTGGAACAAGGAGTGCATGGTGGTGTGGGCTGGGGGAGGGGGAAAAGAAGGAAAAGGGGAAGAAAATGTGCAAAAAACATAAAATAGACCGGCATTTTCCCACTCCTTGATGCTTCACGGTGGGCTCCAGTGCTCTCAGGATAGTCTCCATGGCTTCCAGTGGGGTAAGGTTGGCCAATAGTTGAGTTCAGAGAGGTATATTTATCTGCCTAGCTTCCTCCCTGGACTCTGGCCCCTTCCTCTGAGGTCCTGGGCTGAGGCCCCTCTCCACTTAGCCCCTTCTGTCTCAGGGCTCAGTGACTGGTCTTCTTTCCAGGTGGGAATGATAACTCTAGGCCTGCCCACTCCTCTGAATCCCCTACACTATTGCTTTGT